AATTTGGGAAATATCTAGCCTAATGGGAATTTTACTAGATATTTCCCAAATTCCCTCTAGGCTCTAGTGGGAAGCCTAATGGGAATTTGAGAACGTATCACAGAGAGCTGAAGGGAATTATCTTGGTTACAGTGGTAAGAACATAACTACAGACATTCCTTGAAATGCAAGGGATACGTAGGCACGGAAAGGTACATTTACGCTGTCAACGCATTTCTATTATTTTTATGAAGTTCTTGTGATGAAGATATTATTGGAACGATCTTTTTAACTTAAAAACATAGCTTTATTTGTAAGAAATACGGTTTGCTGCAGGTAGGAGTGTTCGTACATGATATTACAATGGTCATATCAGAATGCTTTTAGTATAGCACATTTCTCAAGATTTCTGTAACAATTTGATCAGAAAATACAGTGGTACAGATTTTATAGATTGAGTTAATTTATCGTTTGTTATTCTGTATTATGCGTAGTAAACGACATAGCAACTGTCTGTTACATGATATTATACTCTTACTTGACTGACAAAAAAAATCTAACTACAATTCGCTATTGTTCAACACACTATGACTGAAGCATAACATGTTTACATAATTTTCTGAGCATATTAAGAAATGACCGGGAACAAAAGGTACTTCACACTTTCGGGATATCATTCATGAAAGTGAAATATTACAAGCTGCCTAGCACACTAACACATGATTTACGTATAAGAATAACTAACAGGACGTGGAGTTCCACTTTCGCATCCGAAATACACAAAAATACACATGTAACTAAGACTTAGACATTTGACCTCTTTGCGTCAAACTCATGATAACGAGAGAACCAAGCAGCTGTAGCGAAAGAGGAAGACTATGAACATATAAACAGGAGTACGCGCCCAATGTGGCACTGAAAAACAAAGTAGAGGGGAAATCAGGCATGATTTATTGCGATAGTAGAATAGTCTACAAGTGGCCTCCAGGGAGTGGGAAGCAAAAAAGGCCAAGATGATAAGACTCAATGAAGTTTTAAGATTGTGTGTGAATATGTTACCAGAGCAGAAGCATTTGAAAAAAATAAATACAGGAACTGCGATACCATCAGAAAATACGTTGAAAAGCGAGGAAATGAAAAGCAGATGAACCGTCATACAAATCGACAACTCCAATTTTTATAAAGCACATTTTCTTTATATTTTTTATAAAGGTTAAACAAATAGTTTGTTTTTAGTTTAAGTGATTGATAAAATCAAATTAATAGGGGCTCATTAAGCTTTATATCCAGTTATTTTCACAGAGACAATTAAAAAATATAATGAATTTAGTTTTCTCTTTTCGGAAGCTATACATTCACGCTTCAGAGTTCGGAAGGTAACTATTAAGAAACTAAACACCAGAATAAAAAACAAAAAAACGTTTGCCATTCTTGATAGTTTAAATGATAGTAACAAAAGTGGCAAAAATTCTGGTTGATTTTTAATATTTCACACTTCAAAATAATCAAGTAAATATTGTAAAGGTATTGAATTGATGCTGAATTTAGGCATTTTCGAGCGCAAAAAGTTGCATCTAATACAATTTCAATGATTTTATTTTTGATCAGTGTTTAATAACAGTATCGTTGTTTGTAATAAATGTTTATGTTCCAAACTTATTTCCTGACCTCATTTCTTTCGTCAACAAATCGCAGAATTTGAAGCTTTTTGTGTACTTACACTACTCGTATAGCGAAAAAGGGCAGAAGCAGCTAGATTTAAGTTTTGTTTAACAACGGTTTCTTTTTGTGTACAAATAACTCAACTTGTTTTACACTTTTTTCCTCATCGCACTTCCTTCCGAACCGCGTCACCGACTCATCTGTTGCCAAAACAATCTCTCCCGATCCGCGTTGCTCCTTTGTTCCGGCGACCTCCAACGGCAACGCACACACGATCGCGTGGCGTATCGCGAACCGACTCGCGTCCAGTCGAGAGGGGCTACCCGGAACTCTTTGCGTACGAGGGCGACCTCTGCCTTCGCGGCACTGCCCGGCGGGGCGCGGGGCGGCGCGACGGCCATCGCCAGGCAAGGTCAGGAGCATGACGACTTCCTACAAAACAACTTTCATCAGCGACGCGGCGCAGCGCGGTTCGGTTCGGTGCTGCGCGGCGTGGCGTGGCACAGTGAGTGGCGTGGTGTGGCGGAGGTGCGTTGCGCCGCCGTTGCTGTGGCAGGCGGCTGGTCGGTCGCTTGCCTGGCTTTCTCTCGCGGCACGACGCGGCGCACGGCCGTTGCCTCACTACCCCTCGCTCCCCACTTCGCCCGACCGCCGTCTCGCACCTCGCCGCGCTGCAGTCGCCGTGCCATTATGACACGCTCCCCCATCCTTCGATTGCCCCGGCCGTGTTGTCGTTTGCGTCCGGGCGCTGCAATTTGCCGCCGCCTGATGTCAACAGGGTATAAGAACGAGCAATATGACAGAGTTTACACAAGAGGCGAGTGATTATGTTGGCTTCCTCGTTCCATCGTGGAAGTTCTTTTATAACTTGTTCACGCACTCGCGTAATATTTGCGTGATTTGTTTACCCGCTGTTTCCGTTTTGATTCATGATTTTTTTTTCTTTCCTTTCAACCCGTTGAATGTTTTCTCACAGCTGGAGTATAACAAACATTTTATGAAATAAATACTTCTTTATTTCTTTACAATGAAATTGCTTCTAAGCAATCGTTTTCAAAATGGATATTAAGATGTTTATAAAGTTACTTATATTTTTTTATTGATTTTAGTGATTAGCTTCAAAATTGTCTATTAAATTCAAACTTCAATCAGAATTATTTTGAAAAACATTACCCACTAACTTGAATAGAGTTTTTTTGAATAGACATATCGTATATAATTGATAATTAAACATAAAATAAATATATATGCTAGGAATTTGTTTCAATACAACAAAGAACTGAGGGTTTCTTTTGCAATTTTATTTTTTTATTTCCAATCAAAGAAATCAAAATTAGAGAAAACTTTTGAGAATGGCTATAACAGTGACTTCAGGAGATTTTTAAATTCTGGACAATAAGATTACGAATCAAAGTTTTGTTAGTCTCAATTATTCAAGTTTCTATGGATTTATAGGGCCAACTACTTATTTATTCCCAGGTATATTCATTTCTATCTCTCTAACAGAACCCAAATTTCTAAAGGAACCAACATATCGTTTCCTACTACTTCTATGTTCTCTAACGAACAATTATAACTGCCATGTAATCAGAATACCTAAAACATTCACTCTTATGAAAATACAAACAAATCTGCGATTCATACGAATAACTTTTAATGATTCTCGTCTGGATGTTATACTAGGATACTTCGACGCGGACAGCAGCATACATCTGGAAATGCGATTGTGTAGGAAGAAACAAAAGGCTGGAGGTGTGATATTCATTACGTCGCTTATCAAACAAACAACATGAAGTAAATAAAAGACGTCAGTTCCATCGAAAAATAACCCTAAAATACATTAACCTATGATTGTGTGATTTTCATGTATTTCCAACCACGTGTATACGTTTTATTATATTATTAAGCTTTGTTGTTTTTTAATATCTTTTTTACTTAGACTAGAAACATGTTCTAAAAACAATGTAGCTTCATTATTACCGTAATAAACGCGTTCAATATTTACTGGTTCTAATTATTGCATACAATATAAAACAGAATGAAAATTAAATATTAAATCAAATAATATTGTACAGCCTTCTTCACAGCTGCGAATAGATTGTTTGGATTCTCGTCCATTACAATCCGTTGATTGGATTGAATATGTTTCAAAACAATAGTACAGCCCACAGTGAAGAACATAACTCGCACAGCCAGATGAAAAGATGGTAATAAATTCATAACTGCAGAGTCAATTTCTGTGGTCTAATTCATTCTCACGCTGAAAACCGCTAGCCTGGTTCCAAGCAGCAAAGGTAATGGATCGGAAGAAGAGTCCCTCAGAGACGACTGACAAGCTTCCTGCCTCGGCATCAAGAGACAAACACAAAGGGGTACTCACGTTTCTCGAGCGGCATCTTCTGCAGCGCGGGCGAGTCGTCGTTGTTGTAGATGACGACGGCGGAGGCGTTGAGCAGCCAGGCGTTCTCCACCTTGACGTCGTAGTTGCAGCCGCCTCGCTGCACCAGGGCGATCCAGGGCTCGCCGGGGGGCACGCCCCGGGCGGCCGTCACGTTGGGGGAGCACGCCGCGCCGCCTCCGGGCCCCGTCGCCAGCAGCGGCACCAGCAGTCCCGCGGCGCCGCCCACGCGCCCCGCGGCGAAACAGCCCGGGCTCGCCCCGGGCCTCCCAGCGCCACACGCCCGCGCCGCGTCCAGGAAACGTCACGTTGAGCAGCGCCTTGCGTCTCGTAGGGGCCCGCGCCGGTTCGGCAAGCCGGAGGGCGCCCGCCGTGGCCGACGCCGCCTCGCCGCCGCCGCCCCCGCTGGCGCCGCCGCCGTACCGCCAGGTCCCCGGCCGCGGCCGCCCGCCGCCGCGGCCCGCGCGGCCCGGCCGTGCACACCCCACGCCGCCAGCACCAGCACCAGACACGCGCCAGCCCGCGAAGCCCATCGCGGCGCCGCGCTCCCTGTCCCGCCGGCTGCGCGCCGCTCGCGCCGCTAGCTGTCAACGGTCTCGCGCGATGCCCACCTTCACTGCTCCAGGCTTCTGGCATTCCCCACCAGCGGCAACGCAAGCGCGCGGGTCGCTCTTTCAGCTGTCGTTCACAGGGCGCGCAACTGCACCGTGTCCAGCGAGCCACGAATCACCATGTTCCGCAAAGAGGTCCAGTAGAGAGGCTGTGCTCGGGAGGGGTGACAGTCGCGACGGCAAGCCGGGGGGATCCCAAAGGGGTCGAGGTCCGTCACCTTAGGGCCAAAGTCTACCGGAGCCCCGATGCCTCCAGGACGTCGGCCTCCTCGCCCTCGCGTCGCGGCCGCGGCACCCCCCTATATATACAGAGCGGCCGCCCCACGTGAGCGGCAAGCCGTACGAGCGCGCTAACAAGATCCCGCTCCGGGCTCGCCTGATCCGGAGGAGGGCAACGCGCCCGAGGGGGCACGTGCGGCACGGAGGGAAAAAGCGAGGGACGTCGCGCGCAGCCCGCACAGGAGCGCCACCTGCGCCAGCGATTGGCACGTGCTGGAGCGCAGGCGTTCGCCCGCTGTCTCGGGGAGCTGCTGGTTGTTGGCTGCTGCGTCGCCGCCGAACCTCCGCCCGCTGCGCTGCGCCGACGAGCACTGTGGGCGGCGCGGCCTGCGTCCCCGACGCGTCGCGTCGCCTCGCGGAGCGGGGCCAGCCGCCCCAGCCGGTGGCCAGGCGGCGGGCGACCGGCGCGCGCTCTGCAGCACGGCGCATGCGGCAGCGCCGCCGCGCACAGTGGGCCCGCACCCACGGACCTGGAAGCAAAATTATCACGCGGGCACTTGCCAATACATTAAGTGCATTATCAAATAAATAAGAACTTACTCAGAACGAATGTAGGCACTAAAACAAAACTCCAATTTTATAAATCCGAATATATACCAACATTTATAAATGGAACTGAAGTATGAATGGAACTGAGTGTGCCACATAATACGAAAGCAGAAAGTAGAATCACAGCAACGGAAATGAAATTCCTATGCAGGATAGTAGAGAAAACAAGAAGAGATAGGATAAGAAATAACAAAATTAGAGAAGAACTTAAAGGTACTAAAGGAAATGGAAAACAAGGCTCTGAAGTGGTATAGACATGATAATAGAACAGCAGAGGATAGAGAGCCGAAACAAATGATCGAAGCCAGGCTAGAGGGGAAGAAACTACCTGGGAGACCAAGAGGAGCATGGGACCCATATATACAGGTTATATGCCAAAGGAGCGGAGCTACACTAGGTGTGGTGAAGCGCATGGCACAAAGCAAAACGGAGTATATCAAATGGCTAACCCAACGCTGAGAGGAATCAGGAGAAGAAAAAGAAGAAGAAGAAAGGAAGAAGAAAGGAAGAAGAAAGGAAGAAGAAAGGAAGAAGAAAGGAAGAAGAAGAAGAAGAAGAAGAAGCACTTACCAAGTTATACTTTGATTCGTTGCTTCGAAATTTGCTTCGCTTGTCATCCAATCGGCAGCTTATACGTCATCATAGTGACGTCAGTATAGCGACATTCAAGCTCTCGCTTGGATGACAACGTCACAACAGGTGGCAACCGATTCAATGATTTAATAGAAGTACAGGTGTGCGCAGCTGACAGAAGAGGGGAGCCAACTACATTCCAGGGTCCCTCCGAGCCCCATTTTCCTCCAACTTTTTTTTTCATTCACATTGATATATCTGCTTAGGTGACTCAGAGCATCAACGGGTGTCACTGTAGTGTATCTAGCTGAAAGATTTTATAATTCGAGCCCCTACGGTGGCGGGATTTTCGACACTAACTGGATAGCTAGATTGAGTTCGGCTGCTGTATGGGAGGAGAATTCTAACGTCCGTCTGCACTGATCGATAGTTTCCCATGGTTCCTCTAATCAATACCAGGCAAGTGCCAGAGCAGTACCCCAACAAGAGGGACATGGACTGAGCGCGATATTTTGTTCTCCATCCTTGCCCTGTCCCCACGCCAGTCAGTCCTCGTCCAGAGTCATCGATCAAACAATCAAACCATATAATGTATTTTTCTAGTAAAGGAGTAAAAGATACTTCAAGAAGAAGAATATTATAAATTTAATTTTACTATTAAAAATACAAATGAGTTAATGTTGAACAATTTTACAAGATTGGAAAACTGTTCTTAAGTGTCGTTTCAGTTTTAAGAAAAGGCAAAACAAGGAATTGGCAGCATTTACGGCGAAATAAATTATTTTTACGTGGGCTAAGGGACCCCTTTCGAAATTATTAGTGGGGCCCGACCCCCTGCCCTCTCCCCCACCATTGCCACCTCCCGCACGCCCATGCTCAACAAGTCCGCTCCCAGGATCAGTGGTGACTTGCGGGGAGAAATTGTGGTGAAGTACTTTCCACAATTGCGTATCTTATATCATGAACCTCTACATAGATATACTAGTAATGAATTTCTCAAAAAAAACAAACAAACAGAATCCATTTTAAAATAGTTTTTAACGTGATATATTAACGCAGATAGAATTAAATATGCCTTTAGTTCGAAGTATAAGAATACTTAATTATGATTTTCATCTAACATAATCACAAAATAAGTTTAATATGTCAGGCTTCTTGTTGGGAAACACAAAATCTTTACTTGAGATATCTTGGGACAGGAATACTAAAAGGTCCGCAAAGCAGTATTGATTGTGCTGCTATCTGTTGTGTATCATGCTTCTAGTGCGTGGTTCTGAGTTAAAGTTTTCGGATCCCTAACATTCGCGAAGTGATCGGTTCAGGTTCGGAACGGCCGGTTCACTTCCCAACAAAATGCGTTATGGGTGCCACAGAAACCGTCGCGAGATCTGGCTCAGAACAAGCTAAGAATCAAGCAAATGGAGATATTCGGCAAAGAAACTCTTTTTATGTGTTGGAGAACAAGAAGTTACAGAACGCTTTGTGCCGACCACCAATTCACCGGCGCCAGAAGATCATCGAAAAGAAAAGCAGTACCCTATCGAACGGGCCAATGGCCGCGCGTGATGTTTCCTTCACTTCCTCGTTCTATCCTTTTCCTTTATAAACACACTTACACTTACACTTATACTACCACATACAAACACACTTACACTTATACTACCACATGTGTCTGGAGACCAGTCGGGAGGTTAGAGCTTTTCCTGCCTGGATGGAGCCCTGCTGGGGGATACCTGTATGTATGTACTGTATGTATGTACTGTAAATATGTACTGTATGTATGTACTGTATATATGTATTGTATGTATGTGCTGTATGTATGTACTGTATGTATGTACTTGGCGCGACAGCCCGTGAACGGGCTCAGGCCAACCGGCGACGTCCCTGACTCGCGGTCATGGATTAAGGGGGTACGTGTGTTTAGCACGTAGACATCCCCACGCGGTATTCCGGTCTTCTCAAACTGAGAAGTGAATTTTCTCATCGTCACACAGCGACATATACTATGACATTGCAGAGAAAACGCACACTATGGTCTTGGCTCGAACGGAAATCGAACTCAGGGCCGCGTAGCGGAAAGGGAGCGCTCTGATCAAGAGCTAGCCACGGGAATACCTGGGGGGGGGAGGTGAGTTGTGTAGGTTGGCTCCGGATGTCATCATTCAACGGGGAAGGAGTCAGAGTCACTTCTTAACGGGACTGGCCGGGCAGTGACGTGCCCAAAAACACCAATAAAGCAATCGAAGAGAAAACAGACACAGGGGTTTTAAAAACAGCGATTCTTAAGCTATTTCATTAAAATTTGCCATGTACATTTAAATGGCCATTTGCGGGTGAAGTAGCTCTTCGTTTTATTAATCTATCATTTCAGAGCTTCCGCTGCCTCAGCCCGGCTTTGGTAGCGTATGCGCCAAGTACCGGAGATCCGGGAGGAAGCGACTAGAGTCTTCAGAGGGAGCATCGCTGTGAAATAGCGAATTATAGATCTTAGGTGTGGGTTAAAGTGGTATGAAACGCGCGCTGCATGAACACTGTGTACCATTATTTTGCAATAAGATGAGTATCAATACCTTTGAACAAGTGAAAATCAACAATTCACATTACCTGTCCGCGCACTACGAAAAGAGGTAGATGGACGATGACGGACTTTGGCCTTGTGAAATAGCCTTAAAACTATCTCTCTTGTCATAATATACGTGGACATACTGGCTTAACTATAATGGTTAAAATGTGTTTACGTATCACACGCTTAAAAATTATTGGATTAAGGAGTAAGAATTGCTAAAAGGCTCCTCATAGGACTTATATAAATTATAATTATCATTCAATGTAACAAAATAACATTCGATTTTATATAGATTAAAATTATTCTATCATTCGTTTTAAAATTAGCGAATAATTAGGTGATATTTCTTCGGATCACAAAGACGCACGATCAATAAATTTCAGAGTACACTGAAAGTGAGGGAATTGTGGATTTTTCATTTACGTTCATCTAATTTTGCAGCTGCGAGTTTCGGCCCACTGCGCCCATAAATCCCCACCTGTTTCCCCAATGCCTGGAGAGAAACATCTTCCTTTCGCCTTTAACAAAACTGTCCTCCCCAATTCAATAGGTGGTTTCTATATTACCAACTTCGCGTGCTCGCAAAATATTGAGAGAAAACTAAGCAACCTACGGCCGTGTGAGAGGTTACAATGGTTTCGCGTCATACTCAACAACGCGAGGAAAATCCAAAAGCAATGAAACAGGATCGTGGTGACGAGGGAAATATGAAAAGAGGAGATATGTAAAAAAAGAAGTAAATTTATTAGGCTCCCATTTTAGGCCCAATAAGTTTTAAAAATTATTTTTGAAGGCAAAAGTCTTGGAAAAAGAAAATAGAACGTCTAAAAAATAATATCATAGAAAGTATCTTCAAGTTGGGCTTAAATGCATAAGCTGTAGAGCAGGGTTGTCCAACTAGCGGCTCGCGGTGCCATTTATTGCGCAAATTTTTTTTAGTTAAAAGTGAAAGTCCCTTTCATCCATGTCGGGAGAAAACATTGTGCGCCCTGCCGGGGTCAACACCTCCTTTAATGTACAAGTAGGGGAAGTTTAGATACAAGGATATTTTTTTCTAGTAAATTTACGCTTCCGAAATCATCCCAAAATGTTTGACTGCGTTATGCATAGTACGGCCCTTACACATGGTTCTATTCCACAAACACGCGCGTTTCTGATCAGCCGAGCTACGTGTCGAGAACAACAATACGGAGATGTCAGGTGTGGATCGTCCCAGTAATGAAATTATGTACCGCAACCGTACTATAGGTTTTAGATGTGGCCCTTGAGACCTTGCAAGTTGGGCACTCCTGCTATAGAGACGTGAAAAGACGACTGAGTGAATAAGGTCCTGGCGATCGCAGGGTCAGCAACAACGGCCGGTTCTAAATCTGTCGCTGTTGCCACCTGCTTCATTATTTACACAAAGCATCACTACATTTCAGGCCCATCAAGACTGGGTTGCATATGAACGGGCCGCTTTAGACTTATTGTGAAAGAACAGCTGAAGCCTTGCGAAAATTCCGCTGTTTGTAGAATCAGGCCTTGAACAGTTGAGCCACGTTATGTAAAACAGGAAGAGTGAGAATAAAAGTTCTAATATTTATTGGCGTTTAATAACAGTGAGACTTACAATTAGACCCGTACAATAAAATAGCACACAATTTAATATTGTCAATTTAATTCTACCTAGAATTCGAATATTTAGACGTCTCTGTGAACGACCAGTGCCACAGGTGTGCATAG